CGCAGAAAAACAAGAGAGCCCCAAAACGCTTTTCAAATATTTTGACATTTTAAAAAATCAAAGTAGTCATCATAGAAATATGCTGATTTTGCTGAACTTCCTAGCACTTATTTTATGATTTATTATTGTTGTTGTTGTTACTATTATTGCTAAGGAGGCACTCAGCCAATATTTGTTGAATAAATGATTAAATAAATGATTCCTGGGCTACTGGCTGAATGGCGGTGCCATTCACTGAGAGAAGGACCAGAAGAAAAGGAGCAAGTCTGAAAGGAGAGGAGGGGTAGGCAATTTCCTCCTCCCAGGGTACCAGATAACAGACATTCTGGGTCCTTCTTGCAAGTCAGGGGCCTGGGCAGGCTACGCGGGAGGTATAAGACCATTTAATAGCCAATATGGCACATGCACCTGTCAATCAGAAGGCATCTAGCCCTAGTGTCCTGGAGCCCCTATGGAGCTAGATGATAACATTTTGTTGTTGGATTATGCAGAGGATGAGCGGAGGTGCAGGATATTCAGGGTATTCAGGTTTTTAGAGTATTCGGGGTATTCAGATATTCAGGCCAGGGTATTCGGGGGATATTCACTGGTAGAGATGTACCAGTGAGTACATGTTGAGTCACAGACCTGGGCTTGGAGATGGGCAGAGAAACCAGGCAGATTGGAGGATGCCATCTAGCAAGGCTAGAGTGAAGGCAACCCCACCCCCACCACAACTCACCGACTCCTGAGAGACACCTGGGGTGGCCAAGCATAATGAACACTGGCTGGACACTTACCCAGGGCCAGAACTCCATTCCCAATGCTTCCAATAAATTAACTCAATGGAGAGGAGTTTCCATTAGTCTCCCTATTTTACAGATGAATAGACTGAGCTGCAGGGAAGGGTTGAGTGCAGGGGATTATCTTCAGTTACTTGGAGATTGCCTGTGATTTTAGGGCTAGTAGGTGGCAGAGTTAAAATTCAAAGCCAGACAAAGGCCTCCCTACACTCAACTGCCTCATAAGTTGGAGTACAAGATGGAAGGCAAAGGGGGGAAATCAGCCAGTGGCTGTTAAAGAGCTTTAAGGAGGCTCAGGGGTGTCTTAGCGATCCAGGCATTCAAGCAGAAAGGTGCTTCTCCAGCTGCTAGGTTAGGCAAGGATTGCCTATGCACATATGCTTGTCCCAACTGGTAGGGTTTCTGAGGAGGTGGGGAGCACGGGAGACATATACACAAGATTTGAAAAGGTCTGTGGCATTAGGATAGGCCTGGTGGATTTAAAAAGTGGGGGCATCCTTTATCTTTGTACCTTCGAATCCAAACATGGTCCTGGGTACAAAATCATCATTCAAGAAATATTTTTGGATGGATGAATGAATACATAAAAGACCTGCTTGATCTTTGTCAAACATAGATATGATCCCAAATCTCACCCTCTTAAAATCTTCCCAAGATGCCCTACCCAATGTAGGATAAAGTCTATATGCCTTATCCTAGAATCCCAGGCCAGCGTGATCTCTCCTCTGCCTATCACTCCACCACGACATTCCCCACACCCAACCCTTCCCTGCTGCTGTGTGTGAGAGAATCTCGTTTGTCTGATGGTTCTGGTCCTCTCAACCTTCTGTGCCCTCGCTTTCTGCTCACTGCAACCCCCCTTGCATTTTGGGTGGAGGAATTGTTCCTTCTGCACAACTCATCTCTGCGGAAGGGAGGGCTGCCAATCACAGTCATGGGCACACAGCACAAGTGGGACCAATCAGAATTCTTTCCAGGAATTAGTGTAATCCCAGAGGGGAGAGGGAACCTTCTCTTTCCTCTGTGGCCACTCTCTGGGGTGGTGGAGTCATATAAGCCTGGAGCTGTCTGCAGACACTCACGCCACATGAAGGAATCTTGTCCTCGGATGGAGGGAAGGGGCCGAATAGAGAAGAAAGAAGAACCAAGCAAACAACACACACACACAGACCAGACTATGTGACCATGTGGCTACATTGCTTGAGTCTCTGCATCCCCTGTCCTTCCCAGTTTTATGAGCCAATACATTCTTTTTGGCAGGGGGTGGGGTTGGGGGCTGGTGAATTTGAATGTTTCCCTTATTGACCAACACAAAGTGTCTTGACTGGTATTCAGCTGTACCGGATGGCTGACAGTGCCCAGAATCCCACACTACCCCCTACTACACCTCTTACAGGTTCAAGTGACACAGTACAGGCCACATAAAGTACAGAGGACACAGGAGATACGAGGGCAGCCCCTGTGGCCCATTCTCCTTGTTCTTCAGGCCACACCATGTGGCCATGTCCAGGTTGGCAGGGGGGGCATCCCCCTGCACCTCCTGCCTCGTGCTCTCTGTCCCCGCCCCCCTTACTTTCTCTGTCCCTTTGCTCTGCTGCATCCCTCAAAGTCTGCTTCCTTGTGGGACCTGGGCCCCCGACATGGTTGGCAGCATTTCTGTCCTGGTTCTGCAGCTGAATAGTGGACTTCAGATGCTGCCAACTTCAGACCTTGAGGGTCTGCAATGTGGACTTAGAGCACGTACCCAAAAGACCTCTAGCACTGAAGATTAAGCACCCGTGGCAAATCTTCTCTCCCTCATTACGCCTGAGAGTGTTAGTCTGCTTCCCTGCCTTCAGGCACGTCCCAGGTTTCCAGGCATGGAGGTGGAGTGAAGGTGTGGAGCCCCTTCAGCCCTTGTGTTTCAATTGTGGGACAAGATTCAGATGATAGACACTCAGGTTCAGAGAGGGAGGCATGAGGAAAGGGAGGCAGGTGCAGGGGTGGGAGATGCCATAGATGTATTGGCCATCGGTAGAGGGCCAGGCTAGGCCCAGAGAGGTTAAAGCTGTTCTGAGATGGGGCAGGGCTGGCAGAGGAGCCTATGAGTCTTGCTGAAGTGACAGGGTGGACACCAAGCTGGTGTCTTTTGCATGTGACAGGAAAGTCCTGTGCAGGCCAAAGTTCAGTGAAGGGTCTTGAATGCCAGGCCCAGGATTTTTTGGTTTTTTGTCCTTTTTGAGACCGGCCACACCGCGCTCAGCCAGTGAGCGCTGTGAGTGCACCGGTCATCCCTATATAGGATCCGAACCTGCGGCGGGAGCGCTGCTGCGCTCCCAGCACCGCACTCTCCCGAGTGTGCCATGGGCTCAGCCCAGCAGGCCCAGGATTTTTTTTTTTTTTCCTTTTTGTCTTTTTTCGTGACCGGCAACGGATTGCAACCCTCAG